AAGAGGAAAATACAAAAACAGCAACATGACCTTAATGTTGTTTTATTTATTTCCACTATTTCCCCCTTCTTAAAATCTATCTTTGTAGGTCTCAGGATTGGAAAAATAAATAAATAAATAAAAAACAGGACAAGATAATGTAACATCGTTCTTACAGGTTTGTTACTTTTTTTTAAATGACACAATCAAAAACTGTTACAACAACAACCTACATGAAATAAACCAACAGCTCCGCTTTTAAAATTGCAAACATACACATCAAACATACAGTGCCTTTCAAAAATATTAATCTTTTCAGTTTTTTGTTTGTTTTTTTACATTTTGTTACATCCATACAACCACAAACCTCAACAAATTTTGTCAAGATCTTAAGTGATAAAGTAAAACAAAGTGGGGGAAAAAATAGCAAATGGTTTTCCAAACCTTTTAGGAAATAAAATACTAAAAAAGGGGGGTATGCGTGTGTATTTTTAAAGCTTTTACTTTAATTACACACAGTTAAATTAATGTACTTACTGTATACATAAGAGGATTGGGGCCACTGGAAAAACAAAACAAAAACAACAGATTTTTTTTTTTTTCTTTGTGTTTAACATGGTTAAATATTCAAAATTCTGACTTTTTTCTGAAAAATTCTGACTTTAATCTTGGAATACTGACTTTTTCTCAGATTAAGAGATTGAAGTCAGAATTCCAAATTTTTTCTACAGATAAGAATAGGGCCACTGAAGCGAGAGTGTAAATACCTTTTTCTCATAGCCATGATGGGGACACAAAAAATATATAAAAAAGGTTTTGCTGGTCAGATCATATTTATGACATAACCTCTTGAAATATATGAGAAAAACTGTGGCAGAAAACAAAAAAACTGATTAAATAAACAATCTGCTCTCCTTCAACAGGACTATGAAAGCCAGTCAGAGTAGATAGGAAGATGGATAGAGCTGACAGGAGGGCGATCCTGTGAAAGACTAGATGTGTAAAGGTGGAACAGATATACTCTGAATGATTTGCAGCTGCAAGGAATTGCTCAAACACATATGAATACCACACTTTTTAACATTTCTTAGAATGAAAAAGAAGGTAAGGAACGTTCTTTCCATTTCACAGTCATGCATAATATATTTTGCAATTCATTGTAATTAGAGTAATTTAAGACTGTCTGAGATTGACAACAGCCAAATTGAATGAATAAATAAATAAATGAATGTAACTATTAATATAAAAACAACAAGATTTAAATTATAAACTAATTTTAAACTGTGGTCCAGAAATATGTAAGTATAAGTATGGAAAACCGCTTGAGAATTAGTGGACCATTTACTCCCAGTTTCTTTCTTCCTCCTCTCTCGTCTGACCTTTGGACAGTGCAGGACTAAGGGAAGACTGCTCCTGTCAAGGAGAGGCACATCTTAAAAAGGCCAGTCAGTGTTTTTTAAAAAGGATATGGCAGGAAAGGTCACAAGGACAACAGGATTCAACACAAAACCAAAATCATTTTTCTACAGCTACACAGGCGACTGAATAAGAAATGCAAATATCTTCAATATCTGGAGCAAAACAGCTATTTATCTTTACAACTTTCACAGTCATCCAACAGGAAATAAAAGTGTCATCCTCATATTTAACATTAAATACATTTAATGGGACAAGAAAATATATCCTATGCTATTGCCTTTTCAGTTCAAGGCTGCGGTGTTACAAATGGCTTGGTTCCCAAGATAAATTATCCACTCTCAAAAGTCTGAGCAAATACAATATAATTTGATATTAAGTTATGCAGGTTGTGTAATTAATGAGAAAGTGTGAATATGTGAGATGCTTGTTTATATAACACTGAACTCGGTATGGAAGTCCTGTGAGTAAGCCACCTGTCAATGAGTCCACTCTTTCTGATCATGAACTCCCACTGTTGTCACACAGCAGCTTGGCTGTGCTCATTACAGCTTGTTTTTCACTTTTCTCCCCATCTGGCCTGTCTTAATAGGACTCCATCAATATTAAAAGCCTCAAGCTTCGATCATAAGGTGTTTCTTTGCAAGGTGTTGACTGGAGATGCAGGTTGCAATCAGTCAAAAATAAAAATCTCAGCAAATACCAACCTTAAAAAATTATCTTCTTGTGAACCCTCCAAAAGATAATATGGAATGGCTCTTATAGAACACTGCAAAAGTGTCCTAACCTCTTGATGTTCAAGTGATGTTTCAAATGTTGTCATATTACAACATTCTATGAACAGAACTTAATAGTTTTTGTTCTCCATGGATCAGGAATGAGCTCAATTAAAACCAGAAATGCACAGAAACTGTTGGCTCTTTTAAATCAGAACTGAAAACACCTTTATTGCTGAAATGTTCATTCCAAAAGTCAAAAATAAACCTGAATTTAAATTTGGATTTATATCTTCTCATCAACTCTCTTTCAAAATGTTTTTTCTTTTATTTAGTACTATTAAGATATGAAAAGATCAGCTCTGTTTTTATGACTGTGTTTACTTTGTGTCTGCCTTCACATGGCAAACCAATTTGGAGCGCTATATTTATGAATGGTGCTTCAAGACATTTTGGCGGGTTTTGTGTGATATATGGAAATAAAATATAAAATAATAAATTGCTAGTTAAAAAAAAACAAAAACATGTTGAACTTTTAAAGGTATAGAATAGCATTAGTTCTGACAGCGTTTGATCTGTTGCCCCTTCATTAAAACACAGCTACTGGTAAGGAAAGTGCATCCAAATGTAATTTAATCCCTGCATAAATGCAACTGTTCTGTTGTGGACTATAAGCTTTTTTTTAGAGCACATTAGTGAACAAACAGCATCATGGAGACCAAAGAACATGGCAGATATTTCAGGTGGAAAGTTTGGTAGAAGTTTAAAGCATTCCGTAAAAGTTCAGAATCATAGACAGGTTTCAGATTTTACAGGCTAACAATGGTATCAAACGACCCACTCTTCGGTTTCCATTTGCATGTTTCCAAGCAATACAAGGCCTTGACTATATAAAGACTGAAACGTACTGCGGATCCAGATATTTGAATTGAGAAAGCTTCCTGGAGAGGTAGCGAAACGTCTTCAAATCTTGGAAACCAAGTCCAGTGGATTTTTGTTTTGTTTTTTACTTTTACGGAATGACTATGACCTGGATGACTGAGAATCTTCATCAGCAAGTTTAAAGCAAACTTCCAAATCAAAATCCTAAGATTAAAGAAGCAGAAAGCTATTAGTGAAGGAAAGACAAAAGTATTTTTAGCACTTTGCGAGTGGACATGCAGGGAATACAAAAAAGAAGAGAATCAGGTTAGATAAGTTTCGAAGCTGCCAAAGACTTCCAGTGACATTAACATAAAGTAAAGACTACAACAAAACGTTTATTTATTATACAGGTGCTGGTCATAAAATTAGAATATCATGAAAAAGTAGATTGATTTCAGTAATTCCATTTAAAAAGTGAAACTTGTATATTATATTCATACATTACATACAAACTCATATATTTCAGATGTTTATTTTGTTTAATTTTGATGATTACAAATGACAACAAATGAAAATCTCAAATTCATCATATCAGAAAATTAGAATATTGTGAAAAGGTTCAAAATTGATGGCCCCTGGTGCCACACTCTAATCAGCTAATTAACTCAAACCACCTGCAAAAGCCTTTAAATGGTCTTTCAGTCTAGTTCTATAGGCTACACAATCATGGGGAAGACTGCTGACTTGACAGTTGTCCAAAAGACGACCATCGACACCTTGCACAAGGAGGGCAAGACACAAAAGGTCATCGCTAAAGAGGCTGGCTGTTCACAGAGCTCAGTGTCCAAGCACATTAATAGAGAGGCGAAGGGAAGGAAAAGATGTGGTCGAAAAAAGTGTACAAGCAAGAGAGATAACCGCACCCTGGAGAGGATTGTGAAACAAAACCCATTCAAAAATGTGGGGGAGATTCACAAAGAGTGGACTGCAGCTGGAGTGAGTGCTTCAAGAACCACCACACACAGACGTATGAAAGACATGGGTTTCGGCTGTCGCATTCCTTGTGTCAAGCCACTCTTGAACCACAGACAGCGTCAGAAGCGTCTTGCCTGGGCTAAAGAGAAACAGGACTGGACTGCTGGTGAGTGGTCCAAAGTCATGTTCTCTGATGAAAGTAAATTTTGCATTTCCTTTGGAAATCAAGGTCCCAGAGTCTGGAGGAAAAGAAGAGAGGCACTTCATCCACGTTGCTTGAAGTCCAGTGTAAAGTTTCCACAGTCAGTGATGGTTTGGGGTGCCATGTCATCTGCTGGTGTTGGTCCATTGTGTTTTCTGAGGTCCAGGGTCAACGCAGCCACATACCAGGAAGTTTTAGAGCACTTCATGCTTCCTGCAGCTGACCAACTTTTTGGAGATGCAGATTTCATTTTCCAACAGGACTTGGCACCTGCACACAGTGCCAAAGCTACCAGTACCTGGTTGAAGGACCATGGTATACCTGTTCTTAATTGGCCAGCAAACTCTCCTGACCTTAACCCCATAGAAAATCTATGGGGTATTGTGAAGAAGAAGATGCAATACACCAGACCCAACAATTCAGAAGAGCTAAAAGCCACTATTAGAGCAACCTGGGCTATCATAACACCTGAGCAGTGCCACAGACTGATCGACTCCATGCCACGCCGCATTGCTGCAGTAATACAGGCCAAAGGAGGCCCAACTAAATACTGAGTGCTGTACATGCTCATACTTTTCATGTTCATACTTTTCAGTTGGCCAACATTTCTATAAATCCTTTGTTTTTATTGGTCTTCAGTAATATTCTAATTTTCTGATATGATGAATTTGAGATTTTCATTTGTTGTCATTTGTAATCATCAAAATTAAACAAAATAAACATCTGAAATATATGAGTTTGTATGTAATGTATGAATATAATATACAAGTTTCACTTTTTAAATGGAATTACTGAAATCAATCTACTTTTTCATGATATTCTAATTTTATGACCAGCACCTGTAGATTCCTCATCTAATCTGACTGAGTGGGAGCTGTTTTGGAAATGATAACTAGCAACAACTGTAGTCTCTAGAACTGTAAAGCTATTTCATGATTTTAGATTTTTGGAGTAAATATAATTTCATGCATCCCTTTTCCTCCAATTCACTAACATATTCCACTTGTGTTGGTGTATCGCTGTATCGTTGGTGTAATAGATTAATTAAAAGTTGTCATGATTTGTCTTAATGTGAAAAAAAAATATTGTAAATACATTTTCAAGGCATTATTCATCAAATATTAGTAATACTAACACACTGAGGACTAACCAAGCCACTTGCACTCCCTATGGAAAACTACATTGGCCTTCTTTAGAACTCACAGGATTTATCAAAGTTGGCTTCAAGACAGCATTACATAAGGACATTTGCCCGAGTATCAGGCAGTCGCAGTCCAACCAGCCCTCCTCCAACAAGCACCGAAGATGCCATGAGGATAGGGACAGCCTTGGTGATGCCAACAAGTGATCCAAAGATCAGGTTCCCCAGAACAGCAGCGAGCTTACACAGGGCGTTACAGAAACCAAAGCCTGTTCCTCTGCAGAGACAAACAGAGAATAAATAAAACAGCCGTTCAATAAGTTAAAAATGTCTGGGTTTCTTTTTCTGTGCATCAATAAATAAATCTTACTACCCACCTCCTGACAGTGGGGAAAGACTCTGTAGTGACTACATCCAGGGAGTTCCAGGCAGAAATGCTCAGACCGTTGTAAAGGCACAACATGAAAATCATCATAGACTCACTGGTGCCAAACCACAAGAAGAAACAGCTGATGCCTGACAGGATCATGGAGCCACCTGACAGACGTGCAGAGATAAAACCAGTGATCAAATTATTAAAAACAGTGAATAATTTAATAGTTAACAGTTAATTTCTACATCTAAGGTCAAGATAATTTCCAGTATTTGCAGCAATTTTATCAAACTAAACTTTTCCTTATTTTTATCTCTTATGATTATTAGACTGTTTCTTTTATATTATAACATTAAGAACAATTTGGAAAAGTTTAAATTGAGATGCTCTGGAAAAAAATTATTTACAACGCTTAGCTTGAATTAAAGCACCTATTTATAATCAAGAAAAAGGTTTGCCAAAATATCAAGAGGAGAAAATTGAATCTCCACAAATCTGGTTCATCCCTATGTGAAATGTACAGGTGTCACATTCACCTGTCTAAATACTTATGGACCTAAATAGAAACCATATGGGGATGTCCTAATTTCAGAAAGAAAAAGGTGATTATTAAACACAAAACAACAACTAACAATATCACGAAAACTGGCCTAAGCTAGTAGTAGTTAAAATTAACAGGGTAGAAAAATAATGTTGCTCCTGTTTAGGACTGAAAGTTTTAAAGGTTTTAAAGTTTAAAAAGATATCACGCTGTAAACATCATGAAAAGCCAGATTTTAGTTTGCAAACAGACCTTAGTCTTTATAAACATGTCCTGTGGTCTGATTGAGCGAAATAAATGTTTGAAAAATAATAACTTATGGTACATTTGGACAACAAAGTTTGAAAATAGCTACTTTGGGATAACTGTACATAAAGTTAGTGGCAGCATCATCAAAAGTACATTATGTGGAGAGAAAAAACAGCAATATCTCAAGACATCATATATTAAGTTAGAGTCTTGTAACGCTTGTTAAAGGCTAATGAAAAGGAACTGACTATATAGATGTAGAAAGATGTTACCAGAAGAGGGTTCGTTGAGGAGCCCGAGGTGTGAATAATCACAGAGACAAAAATAAGGTTTAACTAGTTTTGTATTAAAGTGGCCAAGACACACACAAAAAAAAAACAACAAACACACAAACATTAATAACAAAACAGTTTTTGATTAATTGTCCCCAAGGTTCAGTTAGGTTAGATTATTAGTCCATACGCTATGGTAATCCAGGGTTGAGAAGAGAATAGTTTTTATCCTTATAGGAAAGAAGAGTCTGTATCCTACCGCACAGGTAGAGGTCTTAGCTCGCCATCTTCAGTTGAATTAGAAAAAGAAAAAGTTGTTGTGAACCAGATTGTAGTGAGGGTGATGTCCTTTTTCTGGCATAAAAAAAAAACCTGACCGTTGAAGGGATGACAAGTTGATCTCCGTCTGTGTAGTGGTATTAATGAAAGACAACATGAGCGGTTTGGCCCAAGTTGTGAGAGAGAAGCGAGTCCAAAAGACAGCTTATAATATTAGATCTTTAGGAAGATCCAGTAACTTTTTTTGAAACGAGACGCCAACAGAGCATGCGACAGCCACAGGTGGGGAATGGAGGAGGGAGTGGCACTCTGACTCCGCAGGTAAATAGAGTTGGGGTGATGTCGCACAGGGCATGGCCCGTCAAATTAAAAGGACTTAGGAGCTGAGGGCTACACGTTCCCCCCCTGAACTCATGTACGGCCCTGTACATGCAGCGGGCTGACGGCAGACGGCTTGTTTACTGGTAAGGGAAGGTTGGACCTCATCAATTTCAACAACATAATTAAAGGCGGTGCTTAGTCCATGGAACAAAGATTGGATACTTTGGAGCAGTGGATGGCCCAGCCTGGAGTATTGGAACCGCTCAGGAGGACGACGTGTTCGGATAGGTCGATGGCCTGGTGATTCGGACTCGGGACTGGACAATTCAAGCTCAGAGGGTGAGTCAGATTCAGAGACAATGCTGACGGGGTCTGGAGTTTCCGGATCAGAGGAAGTGCTTTCTTCAGGCTCCAGGTTAGCAGCAGGTCTTAAGTCTAAGTAAGTATTTACAGGTTCAGCTAAGTGGTCAATGGTTTCTTGTGACGATTCAGATTCCGGTTCACTCTCAATCACACGAGGCCCCACTTCCATCAGAGGTTCTTCAGTCCGGGCAGACTGTGGTTGCTGGCCAGGCGGGACCACAGCTGACTCAGCCGGATGAGCAGAAGTGGGCAATTCGATTATGGATGTGAATCTGACTGGTTCTGAGATGGAGAGAGGTTTAACAGGAATCAGTTCTTCTTCCGACAGGATATCTTCACCACCATCATCAGGAGGATTGAGAGGTGTGCTTTCTGACGGTAGGGAATGTGTCACTTTCTGTTTGATTTGTTTGGCAGGGGCTGAGAGGAAACCACAGGGTAATAGCAGGTCTCGATGGAGTGTACGTACAGGACGGTCCTTGTTTTCTGGCTTCACGGTGTAGACTGGAAGTGGACTGGCTCTTTTGATGACTGTGTACACATCTGGCTCCCACCGATCAGCAATTTTGTGTTTTCCCCTTATTCTCACATTTCTCACCAGCACACGATCTCCCACCGACAACTCTGAAGGAGTGATGTTCTTGTCAAAACGGGTTTTGTTTTTCAGCATCAGCTTCTCAGAGTTCTCAATGGCAATTTGGTAGCTTTCTTCGAGGTGGGCTTTCAGCTTTTCAATGTACTGAGAGTGAGAGGAGTGCGTTTTCTCTCCCAATGGCAGTCCGAAAGCGAGATCTATTGGGAGGCGTGGCTGACGTCCAAACATAAGCTCATAAGGGGAGAATCCTGTGACATCGCTCCGGGTACAGTTGTACGCATGCACCAGTGGTTTTACAAAATCTCTCCAGTGTGTCTTGTCGTGATCATTCAAAGTTCCCAGCATGTCCAGAAGGGTGCGATTAAACCGTTCTACTGGATTACCCCGAGGATGGTATGGGGTGGTACGGCCATTGCACAGAGTTCTTTGATAATACGGCTCTCAAAATCAGGTCCTTGGTCACTATGGAGCTTCTCAGGGATGCCGTAATGTACCAGGAAGTTGTCCCATAAGCACTTTGCTACGGTCTTCGCTTTTTGGTTTGGCGTGGGAACAGCGACTGCATACTTTGTGAAGTGGTCAGTTATCACGAGTATGTCTTTGGTATTGCTCCGATCAGGTTCCAATGACAAGAAATCCATGCATACCAGTTCCAAAGGTCTTGACGTTTTGATGTTAACCAGCGGAGCTGCTTTGTCTGGCAGTGTTTTCCGTCGGACACATCTTTCACAGTTCTTTATTTTGTTGTGGACATCTGCAGACATACGAGGCCAGTAAAACCGGGATCTTGCAAGGTCAAGCGTTCTCTCAATGCCCAAGTGTCCCATCTGATCATGCAGCTGGTATAATGCTTCAGAGCGACATTCTTCAGGTAGCACAAGCTGGTATGTGGTTTCACTCCAAATCTGCCTTCTCCGTACAAGAACATTGTTGTGGAGCTCCAATTTTGTTAGTTCTCGCAGGAGTAAAGGTAAGTCTGGAAGTTCGTCCCTCAGAGAAGTAGGTGGACTTTCTCCTCTTTCCAACTGTGCAACAACATGCTGTATGACGGGATCGGTGTGCTGTTTGGCTGCAATTTCATCAGGAGAGAATGCAGGTATGACGGGTGAGGCAAACTGTATGTCATCAACAAAACTGTCTGGCAGACTTCCTGGATCAGTGGTGAGTGTCTGGACCAGAGCAAGAACTTGGTCTTCAGCAGTGGAACCATACACAAGCTGTCGGTCACAAATGGCATGGACTGTGTGCTGGTCTATGGAGACAGGTGAGGAATCTTGTAGGTGATGTTGGGTGAACCTTAAAATTCTCTCACGCTCTTTTTGTGTCAGGTGGTCATCTGGCAACACCTCATGCGGTCGACGAGAGAGACCATCTGCGTCAGCATTTTGCTTTCCTGCTCTGTAAATAATCTTGAATGAGTAGGTGGAAAGGGCAGAGAGCCACCTGTAGCTCGTTGCATCCAGCTTTGCAGAGGTAAGGAGGTAGGTCAAAGGGTTACTGTCTGTGACCACTGTAAAAGGTGTGCCGTACAAATAGTCATTAAACTTTTCGGTCACCGCCCACTTCAATGCTAGAAATTCCAGCTTGTGTGCAGAGTATCTGGCTTCACTCCGAGACAGGCCCCTGCTGGCATAAGCAACCACTCTGTTCTTGCCGTCGTGTTCTTGGTATAAAACAGCACCAAGTCCTGTGCAGCTGGCATCTGTATGCAGGGTGTACGGCTTGCTAGGATCGGCAAAGGCGAGAACAGGCGCTGAAGTGAGCTTTTGAATGATGGTCTCAAAGGCAGTCTGACATGCAGGGGACCAGCGGCCACCGAAAGGCTCTTTTGGGTTCAGGTAGGTCTGGGATTTTATCAACGGTTTTCGTTTTTTCTGGTTTGGTGGATAGCCTGAGGTCAGCTCATTCAGTGGTTTGACGATGGATGAGTAGTCTTTCACAAAGCGTCGGTAATAACCGGCAAATCCGAGGAATGAGCCAAGTTCCTTGAGGTTCTGTGGGACTGGCCAAGATGTTAGGGTGGCAATTTTCTCTGGGTCTGTCTCAACTCCATTCCTCGACACCACATGTCCGAGATACCGCACAGATGGCTGGAAAAAGACACACTTCTCCAAAGACAACTTCAGGCCAAACTCCTTTAACCGCAGCAAAACCCTCATCAGCCGCTCTTCGTGCTCTTCCAGCGTCGGAGCGAACACGATTAAATCATCGATGAAGACGAGTGCTTCTTTGAGGTTCAAATCGCTCATGCACTTCTCCATCAACCGCTGAAAAGTGGAGGGCGCATTTGTAACTCCTTGCGGCATGCGGTTAAACTCCCAGAAGCCTAGAGGACAGACGAAGGCGGTTTTGCATTTATCAGATTCCTCCATCTCGATTTGATAGTAGCCGGACTTCAAATCTAGGACGGAAAACCATTTTGATCCGGACAGGGCCGTAAAGGTGTCTTCTAGCTTTGGCAGAGGATATGCATCTTTGATGGTTTGAGTGTTTAACTTTCTGTAGTCTATGCAGAGTCTTACGCTGCCATTCTTTTTGCGCACCACAACGATGGGGGAAGCAAATGGCGAGTCCGATTCACGTATTACGCCAGACTCCAACAGCTCTTGCAAATGTTGTTTGACAGCATCCAGGTCTTGTGGGTGGATGGGCCTGGGTCTTTGCTTAAAAGGTGTTGGGTCTGCAAGTTTGATCTGGTGCTTTACTTTGTCAGTGCAACCAAAATCAAGGTCATGGTGAGCAAAGACTTCAGGAATGCTATTGAGCTTGGAAATAATACATTGCTTCCACTCTGGGGAGATGGGTGAATCAGCAAAATTGTAGTTCAGCTTTGACTCTGATGACTTTAGGCTCTCTTGCTGGCACACACTCTGTTGCTTGTGGAGGACTGACTGGAAGGCACACAGCTCTGCGATAGCAGCACGGGCTGGAATGATGACATCGTGGTCAGACTCATTTGTGATGACAACTGGGAGATGGCACGGTTGGACTGAAGGAAGATCCACCAGGCATGACTGGACCATCAGGCCGCCGGGCAGGGAGAAAGATGTTGGATGCTGGATAACGACAGACTTCTCACCTTGTAACACTGGAGCGATGGATATAGCATCCATGACAATGGTTTTTCCAGCTGCGAAGGTCTGTGGACTGTTGGTCTGTAGCTTTAAAATGCCATGGTGATCATCAGTGGCAAGCTTGTGTCTTAGCTCTAGGATCTTCAGCACAGCTCCATACCCATATGGTACTGGTTGGAATTCGGAGTCTTTGATCTCAGAGTGTTTCTCATACACCACATCCAGTGTGCTGGTACCAATGAGGACTGAGGGCTGTGATGATCTGAAGTCAGGTACCACCAATGCCAGAGTGTTCACATTCACTGACTGTCCCAGGAACTCAGCAGGAAAGGTAATGTCCAACTCCACAAATCCTAAGTAGGGCACAGCTTGTCCGTTTGCACCTTCCACCTCCAGCAGGTTATTTAGGGGCTTGATCTCGTGGTCGGACAAATATGTGTTATAGAAGGAGTGAGTGACAGTGGTAACCTGGGATCCTGTGTCAAACAAGCAATGAAAGTTTGAGCCTTTTATCTTGACCTGTCCTATACTTTTTGTTCCAATTAATCCTTTGGGAAAGGAGTTTCGTGGTGTAAAACGTTGATTTTGGGGACACAATTCAGTAGCAGCTTCCACCTGTCCTTCCGAAGAATCTGCATTTAGTTTAACTGTTTGGAGTTCTTAGCGTCCCATGCTTGCTGCTTCTGTTTCAGCTGTCGGCGCTTTTGTTCAACAAGGCTGGAGTTGGCTAAATTTGTGCAGGCAGGAACAATATGTCCATCTTCGCCGCACTTGAAGCAAAACCAAGGCTTGGGCCTGGTGGAGACATTGACTTTTGGCTTTGACTTACTCTGCCGGTAATCTGGTGCAGAGGCGGGAATTTTCTTCACCAGCAAAGCAGACATCTGATTTTGCAGTTTTACCATTTGTTGTTTCAGTTCATCAATGGCGCTGGTGTCCGTGCGGCCACAGACACAGGAGGATGCACTCTGAGACTGCAGGTTGGCACGATGTTTCGAGGATGTAATGTGTTTCTTCATTAAGGACTCTTTGGCCAACTGCCTGTCCTCTTCGGTCCGGAGCAGGAACAAAAGCTCGGAGAAGGTAGGTGGATTGTCTTTTTTTTGCTCAAGCTGTAATTTTGTAATGACAACATTGTCCCAGCATCCTCTGCAGAACTGTTTCAATAGATGCTTGTCAGTGTCTCTTGCTGGGATTCCGCCCCGCTTCACAACTGTGCTCAGTGTCAGTTGCAGTCTTTGCAGGAAGGAAGACGGTCGCTCTCCGTGGTCCTGAAGAGTGTTTAGGAACTGAGCGAAGAGCTCTTCTCCATCCTGGACAGTGGCAAAGGCTGAGTCGAGCACTTGGGTGAACATGATTGGTAAAGAGTTGGGCCCCAAGCTTTTAACAAGGTCGGCAGCTGGAGGGAGCAGGCTTTCTAGAATGCGCCTTGTAACGTGCAGTGGCGACAAGGTAGGGTCAGCTCGCAAGAGTTCAATATGGGAACGCCATGAGTCGTAATCTGCCTCATTACTTGGTTTAGGAATCCTTCCAGAAAATGTTCGTAGGCGCAGTGGGGACAAGGATTGGAGGCTCATGTCGTCCTTTCTCACAATGTGCTCCACGACAACCCTCTGTACTTCTGGGGGATTCAAGTCGTGTCCAGAAAGAGAAATCCGCTGTCCTGGATTGGCAGCTGTATTGACTAGAGGAGGGTCTGCTGATTGGCCAGTGGAAGAACGACCCACCGACTGAGAAGTTGATTGCATCTGAGACACAAGGGTTGAACCTGACATGGTCTGCCCCGTCTCCAGTACATCAATTGTAGTCTCTTGTCTCTCCTCATCTTCATCATCATCATCATTTCCTCCGACTTCTGCCAGATGTCCACTTATTTGATCCATTACCTCTTTAATAACTTCTTCAAAGGGTTTTCCACATCGGTAAGCAATGTGTTTGAGCTCATGGAGGTAATCAGTGGAAGGTACAGTGGGGGCAGGAATGATGGCAGTACTCCCCCCTGTGGCTGTGGCATAAAGTTCATCCGCAAGTAGTTTTATTTCACAGAGTAAACCAGACTTGCTCTGTGATTGAAATTTATATGGCAGAAGAGGCTTCAATTTATTCAAAGCTGCATATGTATCATATTCAACAATCAGGTTTTTGTAAAAAGAACTGTCAGAATCTGTAACAGTAAATGCCATTTTTAAATCCCCATAAGTACGCAAATAATCAATCAACTCATCATCTGCTTGAGTGTTAGTCACACCGCTAGCATAAACACAATGGGAAACCTCAACCCCCGTTTTTTCAATGAAATCCATTTCAGACACTTCTGATGCAAGTTTAGTCAAAAAACAAAAAACAATCTCAGTAATTCACAATGAATATTCACACATCAGACTCCTGGCTAGCTCGCCAAATGTAACGCTTGTTAAAGGCTAATGAAAAGGAACTGACTATATAGATGTAGAAAGATGTTACCAGAAGAGGGTTCGTTGAGGAGCCCGAGGTGTGAATAATCACAGAGACAAAAATAAGGTTTAACTAGTTTTGTATTAAAGTGGCCAAGACACACACACAAAAAAAACAACAAACACACAAACATTAATAACAAAACAGTTTTTGATTAATTGTCCCCAAGGTTCAGTTAGGTTAGATTATTAGTCCATACGCTATGGTAATCCAGGGTTGAGAAGAGAATAGTTTTTATCCTTATAGGAAAGAAGAGTCTGTATCCTACCGCACAGGTAGAGGTCTTAGCTCGCCATCTTCAGTTGAATTAGAAAAAGAAAAAGTTGTTGTGAACCAGATTGTAGTGAGGGTGATGTCCTTTTTCTGGCATAAAAAAAAAACCTGACCGTTGCAGGGATGACAAGTTGATCTCCGTCTGTGTAGTGGTATTAATGAAAGACAACATGAGCGGTTTGGCCCAAGTTGTGAGAGAGAAGCGAGTCCAAAAGACAGCTTATAATATTAGATCTTTAGGAAGATCCAGTAACTTTTTTTGAAACGAGACGCCAACAGAGCATGCGACAGCCACAGGTGGGGAATGGAGGAGGGAGTGGCACTCTGACTCCGCAGGTAAATAGAGTTGGGGTGATGTCGCACAGGGCGTGGCCCGTCAAATTAAAAGGACTTAGGAGCTGAGGGCTACAGTCTTCTAAAGGGAAAAGGACCCCATTTATACTGCTGAATTAGTTATAAAGTGATTAACGGACAACAGAGTATGTAGCTTACATCAGGACATCATTAATCTCTGATCTCAGTCAAATATTATAGGCAGGGCAGGAAACGTGTTGATAGACATCAGAAAAAATGGGGCAAATATCCAGGAAATTACTTTGAGAAGAATGTGGAAGGATACCAAAGACAAACGATCCAAGTCATATAGTTTTTGTTCTAACTATTGAGGACATCTATAAAAACTTGTGCTGATTAAACAACAGAGAGTGAAAGAAGAACGCATGTTTTATTATTCAACCATATATCCTACCTAACATGGACAAACGGCCAATTTTGTCCATCAAAAGTGCAGACACAATGTTGCCAGGAAGAACAGCCAGTGTTCCCAGAAAGTTGATAAAGTAAACCCAGTAGGCGCTGTAGTCATCATCAAAGGTCATCTGGCAGCCAGTCTTGTTGTGGGTAAAAGTGCTGTTGATCAATTCTGTACCCTCTACCAGCTTGGAATCATCAATATCTGCAGAGAGAACAAAGCAAAGCAGAACGTATGGTTATCTGGTGACCTGAAAAGCAGTAATGACAAAACATAAGGCCTTCCTTGTGTAAATATTAATTCAAAAATGTTCAGTCATCTTATCATTAATTGGAAGACTGCAGCTCCAACAGGGCAAACATGTTTCTGTGCTAGAGTAAGAATTTGTATGTTGATTATAGAAACTGATTCCAGTGACATGTTATTGAAAATGTAGAAGGTTCCATGTTTTGTCATGAATAAGAAAAAAGCATTTTGGATTTATTTTGCTGAGACATTTCGTGAAGTGGATTCGATATTTTAATACTTAAAGATTTTCCCCTAATATTTAATATTGTTATGGGCAAATTACATATTGTGGTTTCTTCTAATCCAAACACACAGAGGGAATTGCAAAAAAAGTCCTGAATGTATATTTGCAACAAAGTCCACTCCTGGGGTCGGGAAAAGAGATCATGAACCGTAACATTTTAGAAACATGGGACTCAGAGAAAGAAGGATCTTTGTTCATTCTGCATATGCCTCTCTAGAATGTACTGTCTCCAAATCTTTCCTTCAGCATAACCCATTAGTTTACTCTCAGATTTAAGTGTAGAGAGAAGAAAGGTGCAGGATGAGCGTTGATTTTCTTTCGGTTGAAAAATCGGCTTTGGTCACAGTTCTGTAAAATTGATCTCGTTGGGTGTGGTAGTGTGGCTCTGAAGTGTAAACCACATCAACAAATCTTAAAACACAACGAGAAATTTAAAAAAGCAACATTTTCAAAAAAGCAGCAGCATTATTTAAAAACACTTTTTTTGGAAACACAACATTTTCAGAATGACCTAGACTAAGACAACTTAAATTGTCATATTGTATAAACAGAGTGTATACAAAACGAAATTTTGTTTAGTACAGCTTTTCAGACAGTAAAATAACATTTCCGTTTCATAAAGTGCTGCAGTGATCAAATGTAAACAGTATGGGAGAAAAACATGGTGCAAAAAACACATTGATATGGAAGTCATTATTATATATGGTGCAAATATGCTGTATTTTTGGTTTGGTGTTATCAGTGTGATGCAGTCTGTGACATGATTTAGAGTTTTTTTCAACAGTTAAGCTGACTGATGGCAGCGGGGAAGAAACTGTTGCAGTAATTGCTGGACCTGCATCTAATGCTGCAAAGCCTCTTCCCAGGGGGCAGCAGGGAGAACAGTCCATGTTGGGGGTGTGAGGGGTCATTGATGATGTTACGGGCTCAGGACACGCAGCACTGGGATGAAATGTCTTTAAAGGAGGGAAGGGGAGCCCTGATGATCCTCCCTGCTGTTCTCAACACTCTCCTCACTTTCTTCCAGTCTGAGGTGCTGCAACCTCCACACCACACAGTTAGACAGCTGGTCAGAATGCTCTCTATGGTGCTTCTGTAAAAGGTGGTGAGGATGGGTGGGGGCAGGTCGGCTCTCCTCATCCTCCACAGGAAGTACAAGTGCTTTTGTGCCCTTTTGACCAGTGAGGAGGTGTTTATAGTCCAGGTGAGGACTATAGGAATGTGGTGCTGCGTGAGCTGTTGATGAGCAGTGGAGCGTGGTTAGGCCAGTTCTTCCTGAAGACGACAATGATCTCCTTCATCTTCTCCACGCTCAGAATGAGGCTGTTATCTTTTCACCAGCAATGTTTTTTAAAAACACCTTTTCGGAAACACATTTTCAGAATGACAGTGACCTTAACCTAGCAGAAGCCATTCTGACATTTTTTTTTTTTTTTTTTTTTATGTGTGTTTGAAAATGTACAGTTTTTGAAAAAGTCATTTTGTTTCTGAATATACTGTTGTGTTTTTGAAAATGTTGTGCTTCTCAATATGTCGCTGCGTGTTTGAAAATTCTGTTGGGTTCTTTACTTTGCAGTCATATTTTAAAGATTTGTTGATATGGTTTGCACTTCAGGGCCACCGTATAAAAAACTAACACATCAATGTTCTGCCAGTATTCAATGTTCACCTATCCTCTTCATTTTAAAAGTAAAGGCAGGTTCCCACCTGTGTTGTAGAAGAAAGTGTCAATAAATGTGCAGTTCTTGAACAAGGATCCCACCGACGTCACATCTTCGAAGTAACAGTTTCTGAACGTGGAGTCAATGAAGGTGACGGACTTAAGCTTCATATTGACGAAACTAAAGAAGAACCATTTAAATGTCCAAAGGTTAATAAGCATTGGTGCAGTAACTTAATTACTTATGCTTTATAATGAATATACAGCATTCATACTCAAAAGTAACTACAATCGAAATATTTTGGCAACGATTGCTAATGTTTTTGAGGTGATATCTTACTGGTCTTGAATAAAAATGCTGTTTTTGTGGATCTGGTTCTCTAGGGTGAAGTTAAAGGTGAAATCTTCAATGCGTTCATTATTGTGGATCTGCACTTTAGAGGCATATTCATCTGCCTGAAGGTGTTTGATGACGTCAGGGAACCAAACAGACAGACCATAATACCTGTAATTAAAGAGACACTGCTTTTTAAAACATAGAAAAAGACAGACAAGACCAACAGACATAAATTTTGAAAAAAGCTATTTCCTTTTTTTCATTCTTTATGACTCTCCGTGAATCCTTATTGATCCATAATCTGTAATTGATCTCTACATTCAACATTTGCAGGGCTGAGAGAAAAGAGGACAGAGCTGTGATGCAGCCCTTGTTTTTTAAACAGAAAGACGTCTCACCCAAAGGACAGCGTGAACCAAACCACTGCCAGGCGCATCATGTTTTCCTTCATAGGGTAGTTGAAGCACTTCATGAGGTTTAGATATATCTAAAATGAAAATGAAAAGCAACGCTATAATGGGGTTTTTCATTGATATTATGACAGAGGGGATGATGAAAAGCAGATATATTTACCCCATGAATTTCAGCTTTTATCCTGAAGAAACCTTTGGAAACTGGGTTCCCTGATCCTGTTTCCATTTCAACCAATTCATCCAACTGTCTTGGGATTTTTATCCTGTTCACCTGATAATTTAGCATGGTAAAGTATCATAAATATTGAATGGAAACATTGTGAAATTCAGGTTTGATTAATTATTCTTGTGACATGCATCCATATCTTAGAATATCTGAAATAGTTGGTAAACAGCAAAAATACATTTAGTAGCTTCAATATAAAGACTAAGGATGTATAAAAATGTGTCCAGTAGGTGCGGCTATGATGATAGAGCTGACCAAAGAGATTTGCATAATATAAAATAAAAAGCAAAACAACATAAACGAATCACAAATAATGCATGAAAGTATCACAACCACACATGTGTACTTTTATAAAGGACCTGGGAACCACTGAAAAGAAATTTGCTTTCAGCAGAGATTTGAATTGATCAGCAGTTAGATTAATTGATTCTCAGAAGAAGGCTGTTCCAGAGCTTAGAGGTCACCAAATTAAAAGCTTTCCCTTCTGGTTTTTAGTGCTGGTCCCATGAACTTTGACCAGCTTCCCTGCTGCTTAAACTAAACACACAACACTAAACACACAATGTTGTGTCTCCGAGTGATATTCACAGATAGTTTATTTTCCACATCGACCAAAATGTTTCATCTTGGTTCAATCTGACCAGAACACCATTTTCCACATGTTGGCTATATACATATGGTTCAGTATATTGCTTGTGGAAATCTGTAACCAAGACCTTTTAGTACGGTAGCTTTATTTTTTCTCTAGTTAGCTGGGCCTCTCTTTGTTATGATCATTTGGGTTTTGGATTCATTTTCATTATCAGTGAAGAGTCTAAAACATGCATATGTAGTGCAGAATAAATTCAAGAAACTTGTCTTGACTAAGCAGCTTTCCCTAAATGCAGCTCAGGCACCAAATAAGTCTGAATGACAAGAAACAGCTTTCAGACCCTGTCGTAATTCAGACATGATCCTGTATGGTGAAAGAATTCAAACCTGTCCCTGTGGTGGCAGAAAATAAGCCTCTTTGCTTCCTTAAGTATAGGAAAGCCCAACCGAGTCTGTGAAACATCTGTAACAAACACTCACAGTAAAGACTTTCTCTGGCAGCCCACGTGCCCTCATGTTGGCGTCGTGGATCTGCTTGAGGATCATCCAGCCCTCGTCGTGCTTCCCAACCTGTCAGGCAGGAGAGAAGAAAAAAACAAAAACTGGTGACATGGAGGATGAAACACATCTCGCAGCAACAACTTGACATCAGCAATTACTGTACATGAATACGGTCCTTTGATATCTCAGTGATGAGAGTCACGACAGCGGTGACTCACTTCTCTTCAAAGGATATTGATCCTCCTGCAGCCAACCTACTGTCACACATCTTTATAGTTGTGTTTCCCAAACAAGCAGAAAAGCCTTTTTAACAGTTTTGCATGACTCACAGTTTTAGTCTGGCTAAATATCTACCGCTATACATAATTAAATTGTTGTTATGTTACTGTTTTATCGTCTTAATGACCTTTGGACAACATAGTTATAGAAATAACTGACACAGTATGTATAGCAGAGCAATATTAGGTTAAATGCTAGTTAGAAACTCAGAAATGACTCATTACCTCAAGGTAGTATCTGGGGCTTTCTGGCATAAAGGTGAGAGCCACCACAGCACACACACATGGCAGGGCACAAACAACGACAAAAACCCTCCAGCTGTGAAATTGGTAGGCTGACCCCATGCTGAAGCTCCAACCTGCAATTCGGAGAAAACCGTTACATTACAAATTATTTTGTTTTATTTATATCAAGTATGATGAACTCTTATTGGCCGTGCACCTTAAGTACAGCACAGGACAACAGTGCTCAACAGAAGATTAAAAGAAAACGTAACAAAAGAAAAAAATAGAGTAAAAAAAAAGGCAGAATACTGAGAAGTATTTGTGGTACATAAATAAACTGGAAGACAATCAACAGAATATGAAATAAGCTCAAATTATCATCTTAGCATCAACGGTGTCAAAATCAAGATTTAAAAGAGAGGTTGTATGCTACAGGCAAAGTATAGCCCCTCATGGATTCTGCTTTGTTACTGAGGAGGTGCTAAACAACTGATCTGAGATTAGGAGGGTGTACTGTATAAATGTCTAACATAGGATGGGGCAAGACCATGAAAAACGTTCAAAATAAACCAGGGAATTTGTATTTGGATCTACTTCAATAAATAAAATGTTTGGTTGTTATTGGGCCCTACTTTGAGAGGATCCACCTCGCTCTCTCCTTATCGTCCTCATCCATCCCAGCTGTTGTTCTGCCTATTTACACCTGAATCCCTAAGTCATTCTTCACCAGATTGTCTCCATGTATGCAGTGGTGCCACCAGGAGGTGGCCAGGGCATTGCACAGGATGGCCGTGGCCACCCCACTCGCCAGTGTAAATTGGATTAGCATCAGTTTAGCATTTCATTCCATTATGCACAGTCAGCAACATAACATTTAAGATCACACAATAATCCAAGATATGAGTAGGTGTTTACTTAAGTCTTTATGATTTCTACAGGCAGGTTTAATACAATTGTAGATTCAGATCCTGAAATTATGGCTTTTAGTTTTAGTGGCCCCATCTGGCCACCCCTATAAAATATTTCTGGAGGCGCCACTACTTGCATGCAAAAGGTTTGTTCCAGTGCCAGTTTGCATCGCCTGCCATTCCTGGTCCTGTTCTTATCCTACCCCAACTGGAATCTCATTGACTTATGACTCTGGTCACTACCTGGAGTGCCTCTGCCTTTTCTTGTGTTTCCCATTTTGAAAAGCAGAATATAAGGTATTATTTTATCAAAAGAAGACATCTAGATAATCTGATCAACTTTTTATGTATCTATTTAAACTGAAATTAACTAATCCAGGCAAAAAAAAAGAACATGGTATTATTTACCAACTTATAAACCTTAAAATATTGAATTATTCATAATTTTAAGTGTAAATTGGTTCTACTGCAATAAAATAATTTTTTTCCAGGCCATTCTTCAACATATATCTTTTCCCAAGGGTTTGAATATTTAAATGCACAAACGTACATAACAAATCTGAAAACATACTGTATGCTGATACCAAGCATTAATCTATAGATTTGGAGTTAAGAGTAACTGCAAAACAAAAGGCTTGAAAAAAAATTCATTTGTATGGTAGCTCTCTGACTGAGCCGAGTGATGGGAACACTCAGAGAGGAATGAGTCAGCAGGGTAAGCAGAGTAAAAGGAGAAAAAACCCCACAGGGACTGTTTAATTGAATTTGTAGGAATAGAATTGAGTGTTTTCTGCTGAGTTAAATCTTGTTGCACCTGATCTCATCCCACAGGCAGTCTTTGAGAGTCATTAATCATTGCAAAAAGCAATGGGAAAAAATACACACAACGGCACGATTAAAAATGTGTGGGTATACACACTGACAGAATAAAAGCACAGACAAATTATACTGACACAACATAACATCATGTCAATTCCCCACCTACAAAAAACACAAATAATTAATTATGCAAGTCATCCATTGCATTCTCTCCATTTTATTGGAGCTTAAGACACCTATTTTTATTTCTAAATGTAAAAACCATTCCACAAAGAGTAGAAAATTACAGAACATTTTACATTTACATTTTATCAATTTTTATCTCGATGTGTTGCTTTAAAAATTCAACAAATAGATTCAATCATTGAATTCCTTTTTTCGTCTGCAGATTTGCTGTTTTGTCAAACCATTTTGGTTGAACTTTTCAAACATTAAAAACATTTGTAAAAGTGTTTCAGATTTTGTATTGTTGGTTTGCACTTCCCGGCCACCGTAGAAATATAAGGTAGGTTTAAAAACACCCAGAATGGACAATGTGAAGTCTGTGATACGCTAACTTATGCAAGTGTTCTTCGTGACTTCAATTTTTTTGAAAAAAGAAAAAAAAAATTCAACAGGATGCAGAAAAGTTGGGGGGCCCCTCATGCTCATCGTGACCTCCCACGTCTCTCCACAGACCGTGGCACATGGAGATACTGCTCCAAAGGGAAAACGACACCATTATCCATCAACAGGCGTAGGAGGGGAGCCACAGGGTAGGGAGGGGGTGGTTTAATGCTAATGGTTCTGCCAGAAAACGGCTGGTTAGGATTAATCCTACAGCGTGTTAAAATCCAGCTCTGATAGCAGCTAAAAACAACTGTTATCAAAAGCTGTGTCAGGAATAAGTTCCATGCTAGATCCTCATACAGACTTTGTTTAAATTGTAAAGACAAAATGGTTATCAAAAAAAGGAAGATGTTAACATATTACATGTAGTGTAATGCTCTGATATATATAGCATTTGAAAGACAAAAGAATGTTCTTATATTCATGGTATTTTAATCATTAGTGTTCATATTGCTTCATCCCAAAAGACCCACATCAAACATCATTGAGTTCCTTTCCATTGTCGTCCATGGAAAGAGTTTTATGGAGAAATATGCTGAAAAATTCATATTTGAATTCTTTCTTCACAGTTTCTTTTTTTAAATATACATCACAGCAGGAACTTCTCTGGTTGATCTGAGCCCTCACAACGTGAAATAAAAGAGAGGGGATGGGGGGGGCAGTCTGAAAGAGACAAGAGAAATCAAGAAGTGTTGACACCTCTTTGCCCACCTTATGTGGGTAAATCTCAGTGTATTAGTTCTTCTTGTTAAATTAGAAATCCACATTGACTGACTATGAAACAACAGCAAATCTACCAAGTCATAATGTTTGTAACCTGACAAGCTGGGCAAGGTAAGTATTAATCAGAGAAACTGCTAAGAAAAAAACACTGTACTACTGCGCTGTAGCTCAGGTGGAAGACTCTGTTGACAACAAAAACCATTAATTGTACAGTCCAATAATCACAAATATAAAGAAGAGAAGCTAAGAGAAAGTCACCGTTGAGTAAGGACACTAAAAAACGTTATCTGCAGTTTCCTGCAAGCTATGCAGAGAACAATAATGCAAGAGGGTGCTTGATTTGGATTAGTCCATTAACAGGGAATAGTTCTCTGAATACACAAACCCCATGGTACAAGATGGAGGATGCCGTTTTTCTTAGTTTTTCTTTTCTTCAGATTTTAGAGGAAATATAATTATACTTTATATGAAGAGGATTAGAGCAAAATACAGGAATCTCCTGGAAAAAAATCTGTTAGAGGCTGAAGAAGACTAGAAATTGAGCCAGAGGTTCAGCTTCCATCATGGCAGGAAGACTCTATGTTCACCCAAAGCAGAGCAAAGCAAAGCCTAAGAGTCTAACAACTTCAATTTAATTTATGCTGCAATTCATGAAAATTGGTGATAACAGATTAGGAATGTATAAACCATTTGCTAAACTGATAGACACCGTTATATGTTCCCAGTGAAATGTGATCCTACATTGACTCAGAAAGAAGTGAATGCTAAACTTTTCTTATTACCTTGCTCTTAAGATTCCCTTTTAAAACACATTAAATCTTGTGTCTGGATAATATTTATGTAAACCTTTGGATAAATGAAATTACTTTTAGAGTCTTTCTTGTCCAAAAATCTTATAACAAAAACAACAGTGCAAGGGTTAGAATGATGCAACAACAGCATGATAAAAGCACGTAGAAAAAAATAAATAAAACAGTAAGACTACAACTTTTAAGAAATGTGAACATCTTCAAATTTGCGTGGGCAATGCCTGTAGATCACCTGCAGCACTTTCTGCACGTACAAACAAGTGTTGACTGTTGATTTGGAATCTCTAAGGATCAGCCCCTAAGAATACAAATGTGAGGTTTCAACATCCCACTTAACACATTAAAATGATTTCCTTTAGTAAAAGGTCCAGAAAGCAAAGGTTGATAGACGGAATAAATACATTGCTATTGATAAATCATTTTATAACAAACCCCCTAGCCAGCTTGCAGCCTAAATTGTGGATCAAACATGGATGCATCCATCAATCCAAACATTCACCTTTAATTCATCTCTCCATGTCACCCTAAGATGGCTGACTCAGGCATCCTTAGATAATCATCTGCTTAATTCCTATAATGAGATTTCCATAAGTATGAGTGAAGAACTAAACCTCAGTGGCAGGAAGTCAGGCTACATGTCTGGAGAAATGGCAACTACTGCTGTGTTCGTTTGTCTCGTTTTGTTTTCTTTCTTTCTTTCTTTCTTTCTTTCTTTCTTTCTTTCTTTCTTTCTTTCTTTCTTTCTTTCTTTCCTTCCTTCCTTCCTTCCTTCCTTCCTTCCTTCCTATAGTATTGTGCCTATTATTTTTCATCATAGTTGCTGAATCATTCTCCCTTTTCACTATATATTTGCATCCCCTTGAGGATCACCTGCAGTGTAAGTATTCATCTAATATTGCTGTGACTGCAGGATCGAAGGAGCATTTTTTAGTTTACAGCAGGAATCTTCAATTCTAGCCATTGAGGTCCGATTCCTGCACCTTTTAGATTTGTCTCTCATTGTCAGCTGAGGTAATAATCATTAGTAACAGTAGTAATTAGTAATAATAACTAGCAGGATTTCAGATAACCTGTGTGCATACCAGGGAGGCATTTAAGCTATTTGATTCAGGTGTATGTAAGCAGAGACATTTAACTGGTGAAGGACTACGGACCTCGAGGGCTTGAATTTCAGGAAGCCTGATTGAAAGCTTTTACTAGTGGAGAATTCCTGCAGATTTTCATGCACATCCTCCAAATGCATTCAGTGCTTTGAACATTATGTGT